CTACTAGATAAACAGAGATGTGTGGAGTAAGGAAATTTGCTTAAGGTTTCTTCCCAACCAGGAATCGAACCCGGGTTCTCTCGTTTGCTAGACGAGTGCCCTAACCACTAAGCTACAGGACTCCAAAGACCCAACTTACCTCTTTTCTCCCCCCCAGAGGATAGTGGTATCATATAGTTTCTGATCTCAATTTTCAGAATACAGGAAACTCATTGAACCTGGAAAATGGAAACATCTCAGCTTGAGATGTGAACACCTACTCCAATGGGAATCAGCTTCATGAAATTCACTATTACAATGCAAGACATGTACACTTCTCTGTACAAGACAGTTTGATATCATAGCAAAATCAACCTGGGAACTCTGTCAGCATCATTTACAACACAGAAACCATTTGAAACTGAAAACCCTAACTTTTTGTTGAGGGAATAGTTGGGGGGGTGGGTGGGGGTGGAGGAGAAAAATGAGTAAACTCCACATTGTAGCCTGTAAAGTTACACTGGCAGATATCATGACCCAAGTTCTCTCTGGACTGGAAAACAAAAGAAAATCCAAGGTATTTTGTGAGTGACTGTCAATTTAATACGAAATACTGGAAAAGAAGCAGAGATATACAACCCTAGTAATAATAACCCTTGCAGTTGATACAGCACCTCATCATGTCGTCGAGATGTCTCAAAGAGCTCCACAGAATATACTGTAAAGTGAATTGAATGTATATTTTGTGGGCGAAACACGGCAGCCAATTGCACACAGCAGTGTCCCACAAACAGTCATGGATTTAGTGACCAAATTATTATTACATTTTGGTTATTTTTGGGGGAGGAGGGAGGATTATTACCCAGGAAAGCAATCCACTGACTAACAAATGCAAGTTGCTGTTGTTATCCCATAAGATAGCCAGTAGTTGAACTCCACAAGATCCTACAATTGAATGTTGGAATCTCAGCATTCCCAGATTCAAAAGGTTAGATATACCACACCATTGAGACATCTCCGAGTACTTTGCAGAGTATACTGTAAAGTGGAGTGACTTTGTGGGTTAACATGGCAGCCAATTTGCTTCTCCATAGCAATGACCCACAAAAGCAGCCAAGGAGCTGTTGTTATCTTTAACAACATCCACCTGATACACAGATGCAACCTAATTTGACATCTCACCCAATGGATGGCACCTCCAACAACAGTTCTCCCTAGCATTGCATTGGAGCATCAGCATAGATTAAGGGTTCCGATGTTTGGTCGAACCCACACCTCTGACACAAGAGGTGATGTTACTACCAACTGAGCCACCTTATGCATTGTTTGAATCAGGCAGTAATCCACAATTTGTTTCAAGGCAACGTCAATGCTGCCTTAAAAAAACAGCAACATAGACACTAGGATTTACCAAATCTAGATACTCAAGATTTCTTAATGCTGGATTTATAAAGGCAAGTATTTTGATGTAATATCCAATTACAAAAAACAAGATACAAAAGGTTTGGAGCCAAGAAAGTGTCATGCAATTTTAAAAAGAGGGATTTGACTTGCATCTGTTAGCAATAAGTGCAACCACAATGTATGCACTCAATTACATGGGACATGGTCTTGAAATCAGATGTACAAAGGAGAGTCTCTAGCAGACACTAGACCCAAATTTTATTACATTAGAAAGAGCAAACTAGGGCATGTTAAGACTTCACACTATTCCAGCTCAGCATGTTAAATATGCGTAAAAGTTAACCTGGGTCTCTTTGAATGATTAATCAAGGAATAGTTTATAGGGAAAAACTCCTCTCACTATTCATTCAGCAACATTCCAAACAAGTTAGGATAGCTGACACCACACAGCCCAGCTCACTCACCCACCCACCCGGGGAGCGCAACAACAACAACATGGGAGCAAAGGAGGGTGACTGAAGGCACAGTCTAAGAGGGCGGTCTTGAAGGAGGCGAGGCAGAGGGACTGCGGGATGGAGTTCCAGAGGGTGGGGGCACGTAGGCTGAAGGTCTCCCTGCCCATTGTGGGGTGGAGCGTGTACTCCGTGAAAGCACAGTGTTTACAACCTGAACCTTTGTAGAAAGTTCCATTCAGGGGTGGAGGCAAAGAGAAAAGCCTCTCGCTTGGGGGGTGGGGAAGGGAAAGCATGAAAGCTGTAACAAGCCAAATGAACTACGCGAAGCTACACAATAAGCAGACATTAACATGGGATGATGCACACCACTAGCTAACAAGGCCAGGTTTAAAAAAAATACAAGGTTCGTGACTTGCTCATTCGTATCCAGTTCCTAATTACAAAAATGGGCTTCAAGCCACAACTTTGACTCAAAGGAGAGAGCACTACTAACTGTTAGGCATTAGCCTGGCTCAGTTACTAGGAATTCATGCCTCAGAGTCAGAAGGTTGTAAGTTCAAGCCTACATCGGGGCTTAGCATAATTCTAGGCTGATACTCCTGTGCAGGGCTTTGGGGTGGGGGTTATGGATGGAGCGAGAGAAACACTACATTATCAGAGGTGTAGTCCTTGAAACATTAAACTGAAATCCCGTCTGCCTGGTCAGGTGGACCTTTAAGATCGCATGATACTGTTTGGAAAGGGAATTTCTCCAGGTGTCCTGGCCAACTATCACAATCCCAGATAAAAATTTGTCATTGGTATTTTGTGAAAGGAACTATATCAAACACAAGGATTAATTATTAATAACTGCAATTGTTCAAGAAAAAGGCAGTGGAAAAGTTCCAACAATCTATTAACTACACAGAACGTGTAGTTAATAGGTCCCAGTCTGACAGTGTCAGAATGGGCACTCGGGACTCTAGGTTTGGAGTCAGATATGGAGCTCGATTCTGTAATGAGGATCAAGGATCATGCTCAGAAATACAACCTGCTAGGTGATCACTGGTACACAGTGAGCTCATCATGCTCCAATGAACACAGATACAAGGAAAATAGTAATAATAGTAGCGCGTAAAGCACATCAGAAATGAACGCTACACATCCTGGTGTGTGAGGTAATATTCATTTATTCAGCAAACGACATCAGCCAGTGGAATGAGACAACTGGTGGAATTGTGCACATTAGTACTGATTTCAGAACGACAAAATGAGATTATATTTTGATATAACAACTCACAAGACCCTATCGTAAGAAGGTAATTTGTGAGGTTCATCCGGTTCCCATCATTACTAATGTGAACAAGTTTCAAGACTGATATGACAGCATCATTGAAAAAGGGCATTTATCTAGATGGATATTCCACTGTGATGGGGGAAAAAGAAAGCATTGCATTGTCAAGAGATGCCATCCCAGGTACAGTCAACTGAAGTCCTGCAAATGTGGATGCTGGGTCTCGTGGCAGCATTTCTGAAAAATGGAAAGGAGTTTCTCCCAGTGTCCAGGACAACAATCCCCCTACCACCACAATTAAAAAAAAGGCATTTTGTCAGACTTTGTGCATCTCAGGTGGATATGGCAGCGTTTTGGACAGAGTCTAAATTGAAGTTTAAACACGATGGAACTGGAGATCAGGCCGGTGATTTCAGTTTAGAATGAACTGAAGACACAGAATCCCGCTAATGATAGTTACTTTTAAAGTTGCACCTGTATCACACTTGGCATCCCCTGCAAACACTAAATGGCTTATAATTTGCTGCAGACACGACCAGGCACTGCCTTGTTAAAAGAACGGAGTCTGTTCCTTTGCAGTGTTTACAGCCGAAGCTGCCAGTACTGTGAGCTTATCCAGCTGCCTATGCAATCTGTTTAGGACATTTGGCCAATTTACAGAACTGCCTTCTGTAGAAGATTTGTATTTGTCCAATATTAAACCAGCAGAACTTCAGGAATGTAAACCCAAGAAATCATTACCAGATTTGGAGTTGTACGATTTGAATGCTTAATTGGCCTGTTATCCTGGTCTGTGAATGAATGGCAGAGACCCCAGTGAGGGTCAGTGGAAGTTTATACATTCATTAACTTGTGTGTAATATAAACACATCTAGCAAGTCATAAATGGGAAAAAAAAACAAGAGTCCGTTTGCAGTCTAAACAAGGAGGCAATTCCCACTGGTTTGACCACTAAGTCATCTGTGGGCTAGCCCTGCTGGAAGGAGGATTTGACTTGAGGTGGCTGCCTAACTTGTGTAACTATTGGATGAAAGGACGAGAAAAACAGCAAATAGACCCAATGGCCTTGTGTAGTTTATTTGTTACTGGCAAACTGCATCCGAGGCTAGTTATTACAGTATTGGTTTAACAGTCATCTAGAAATAGTTACAAGTGAAGGTATCCAGATCAATACTCCAGCAGTCAGTATAAACTATTGTATATCCTTGCATCACTCAACGCAACTGGAAAATCCAATAATTCAATAGTCAATGATCAGCTAATTAACCTTAAGGTCTCATTCAAAGCGAGTTAGATTCAAATGCTTAATTTGGCCTGTTATCACTTTTTAAAACTAACGTTAGAGCAGTCTAAACGAATAGTACCAGGTTTGGTTCAGGTGAGTTAATGTTGAAGGTTTAAGTAATCCTTGCATTTTATCCAATGCGTTCTTGTTTCATCAATAAACAGCTTCATAAACTTCACAACTGGCCCTGCATCTCAGTTCTATTGCACATCTTCAGAATGCAAACAGATTGCAGCAGATGATTTGCCTGTGATGTTCAGACTGGTACTACACACCAAACCGTTTCCCCCGTGAATATGGTGCCCCTACAGTTAAGTCACTATGCGGTTATCTTCAACCAGACTCATCAATGATTAGTGGGTCTCTTCACTTTTACCAATAATTGAATTTAGCATTTAGCAAGCGCTGGACAGGCTGAACCTTTGGAACCAGTGCTGGACCAACAAATACATTAGTCGTTGCAAGTTTTAGTTGTAAAGTTCTATCTTCCATGAAGCAACAAGTGAGGTATTGTACAAGTCACCATGTCAATACTATTGCAAAGCAATTTTAAAGATTAACTCATGTTACCCAGCTTAACATTTTTTAAAAAAAGATTGTTTACCTGCTTGGATGTTAACTTGATGAGTGAACCTTCATACCCCTGTGCGGAGGAGGAAAGAAAGAAAAAAAAAAAGAGTTGAACATATTAGTTGGTAGACAGTGAATCACTCAGAACAGCAGCAGCAACTTGCATTGATATGGCACACTTCACGGGGTAGCATTCCAGAGAGCCACACAGTGGAGGAGTTTGACGACGAGCCAGGGAGAGAGGGAAGGTCACCTCAGGCACAATCAAAAAGTAAGGTCATCAGGTGGGATTCGAAAGTGGGGAGCGGTGGGGGGGGGGTGCAAGGCGGAGGGATTGAGGGAGAGCGTTTGAGTGTAGATATTAGTTGGTAGTCTAATGAAAAACTTGCTCAGAGTTAAATTCTAATCAAGCAAATGTTTGACAAACTCCCCTTTGAGGAATGTACGAATGAAAATGTTTTGTTCAAATCAAAGTAGGACACAGCCAGCTGATTGGCGAGATTGTATTTAGATGTTGTACCTCTAAAAATGCAAGAACCAGATTAAATATTGTTCTGGGACCTCATTATGCCCCACGAGTTAACCCTTTGGATGCTGGCAAAAATACATGGGGAGATAGAATTTGTTGGGGAGGGGGGTAGTTTCTGGCATTGGATGAAGTTAACCAAATGGCACAGGTTTTATCCAAGTTCCTAAAAAGCGGCCAAGGTTTTATTTTCAACTAAATTCTCATGTATTAATTCAATGAACAAAGTTGGACATTCTTCCCCTCTCCACATTCTAATGAGCAAGGCAAACCTCAACCTTATTTTCCCCAGACTCAACATCCAGTAACCTAGCCTCCGCAAAAATGATCCCATTGAATATTTGCTCTTCTGTCTGTATTATGTGAGGTTACTCAGCAACTACAAACTATTAACTGGACTTTTTTTTGGTCAACCATGTGTCTGATCATTGCTAAAACTCATGCTTAAGAATATCCAAACCAAACAGAGTACAATGTATCCCACCTATACATGGAAATGCCAAGATTTTTATTGGAAAAGATTATGTATTCTTTCCCTGGAAGAATTCATCCTGCTCACCTCAGACAGTGCTAGGCACACGTTGTCAAGAGCCAAGGCTTTGGGCCCTCAAGATTGTGGGTTGGGGTAACTGCCAGAATCTAACCAGTTAAAACTCCATTGCTATCGCTGTTTGGCAAGCTTTCCCGCTGCTTGTCCAGCTAGGATTAGACTGCCCGTTAGGGCTTTGGCTAATAATTCAATAATTATGAGGAATGAAAATGGAAGATTACATGGGACAAAAGAACCTAAAACAGCCGTGGTTTCAGAAGGGATACATTTCATCTGACCATCAGTTGATTGAGATTAGGGCTCTTCAGCTTTAAAAGGGGTTTTAGAGAATGAAATTGAGAAAAAACCTTCTGATGTAACCTTCTGACAGTAGGACAAGAGGAAACGGCGTCTTAGAAAGAGTGATTAACAAACAGGTTGCCAGGAAGGGTGGTTGAGGTAAGGATGCTGGACTCATAAGAAACATCTTGATACTATGGTTAGACCGTAAGTGGGTGTTGTGGAAGGGTGAGATCAGAGGGCTGAAGGGTCTTCTTCATCCCAATCTTAGGAATTTCTAAGTTGTTTCTCATTTCTAAAGCGATTTATAAACACTTTGGTTTTGAATCGGTTTCACAACAGTGACAGGATGGGGTAGGGAGCTGGCAAAGCAGTGAAATCAACACCATTGTACACAGAGCTGTGAGCTCATTTTATTGTACAGGTCATTCAGCAAAGTTACACTGACCTTCATCAGCCTGCGCATAAAATAACCTTCCCAATCATGCCATCTCTAGTGAGCTTCACTGCTTTGCAAAAAAAAAACTCAAGAGTTTGGCTGCACTAGACTCCTCAAACCAATTGGTTTCCTCCTCATAATATGCTGGGTTACATTAGGTTCAAAAAAATTCTCATTATAATGAGAATTGCCAGTTGTTACACACAAGTTTCCTTCCATTAATCCTGTCCATTCCTTTCAGTTTCACTTTCCAGCCTCTCCTCAAGCCAAGGTATGCGTCCGCTGGCATCAGTCCCAACTCTCAGGTCACTTATTGCAAGCCAGGTTATGGATGTACCTTTGTGCCAGGAGGCTGACATTCGCAATTTTCAATTCAAACAATTGAGGCAGGACTGTTATTCTAGGCCTATGCCACACAATGACTCCAGAACAAACTGCACTTGGCTGTGCATACCAATTTCACTGACTTCAGAGGTATTGCACTCCAACAACAACAACTTGCACGTAGATAGCACCCTCCATGCAGGGTAGCATCTCAGAGCGCTTAACAGTGGCAGAGCCTGACTCCGAGGTGGACGGGGAGGAGGTGGCCATAAGCATAGTTGAAGAGGAAGGTTTTTGTGGGGGGGGGGGGGGGGACTGGAAAAGGGGAGAGAGAGCAAGGGCAAGGTGGAGGGACTGAGGGAGAGTATTCCAGAGTTTTGGGGTGTAGTTGCTGAAAGCACGACCTCTGATGGTGGGGCGGAGGGTCCCAGAGATGAGCAGGAGCCAGTGCCAGTAGAGCGGAGGTGCTGGGTGGTGTATTGGCGAGTGAGGAGATCAGAGAGGTAGGGAGGTACCAGAGAGTGAAAGGATTTGAACACAAGTGTGAGGATCTTGAAGTCAATCCGTTCAGTGCCAGTGGAGCCTGGGCCAAGACTGGTGAGATGTGGGTACGGAATTTTGGTCTGGGTCAGTATGTGGGTGGCACTCCATGCGACCCAATATGTCCAGTTATTTCTCTGTAGGTTGCAGAGGAACGCTCATTGTTTTCCTTGTAGCTCAGAGGATAACAGACTATGAGACCCAGCTGTTTGTGGGAATCAGGCACTTGGTGTGGGTTTGGACGGGTTGTCGACCTTTACACAGCGACGGCTGCAGCTACATCCAATGCCTTTGCTGAAGTGAACGCTTCATTAAAGCAGAAACCACAAGAGCAGCCACCACCATCTATTAAAGCTTACCCGCTTGTGACCGGTCAGTTCACCTTCTCCTTTACCTGAACTTTAACCTCCTACATATAGACAGCTTCTGTGTACAGAGCAGAGCTGAGAGAGAATTTGGTGCCTACAGGTCCCGACTCCAGCTCCAGGGCTGCTGTCAATATCACAGTGGGGAGGTGAAAGTGATCAACAACACTACATGAGTGTAGCGTCTTTCACATCAGGAGGACGTCCCGAAGAGCTGGACAGTCAGCTCGAGCTGGGGTCGGAATTGGGGAGGAAGCAGGGAGATCAAAAGCACAGGTGAAGAGGAGGGTCTTTAAGGAGGCAAGTGAGGGGGCGGAAGGACTACGGGATGGAGTTTCAGAGGATGGGGCAGAGCGGCAAAGACCCGCCCACCAAAGCGGGCAGGATGATAATAATAATAATAATCGTTGCATTTGATATAGCGCTTTTCACGTCGGGAGGACGTCCCAAAGCGCTTCACAGAACACTCTGTAAAGTGAATTGACTGTATATTTGTGGGCGAACGCGGCAGCCAATTACGCACAGCAATGTCCCACAAACATTCGTGGATTGAAAATGACCAATTTATTATTGTTTTTGTTTTGGAGGGATTATTATTAGGCTCTGTGTGGAGTAAGGAAACTTGCCCAAGGTTTCACCCTCTGCCTGGAATTGAACTCAGGTCTCTCACTTGCAAAGCGAGTGCTCTAACCACTGAGCTACAGGACTCCACGATAGAGGTTATGAGGTCACAGAGATGGAGGGGAGCAAGACCATGGAGGGCTTTGAAGGCGAGGATCAGGATCTTGAAATGTGTCTGCTGTGTGATGGGAAGCCAGTGGAGTCGGGCGAGAATGGGGGTGATAGGAACGCGGAGTTTGGTGCGGAAGGGGACACGGGCTGCAGAGTTCTAGATGATCTGCAACCTGTGGAGGGAGGATTTGGGAAGGCCGACAAGCAATGAGTTTGCACAGTCAAGCCTGGATGTTCTAAATGCACGAATGAGGGTTTCGTCAGCCTGCGGTGTGAGACAGTGTCGGAGCCGGGCGATATTGAGGAGGTGGGGGAAGGCAGAGCGGGTCATGGCACGGGTGTGGGGTAGAACGGATAGTTGAGGGTCGAGGTTCCGAACTGGCTTAGTAAGGTGGAGCGTGTATCCATCGATGGTGATGCTGTAAGCCACTGAGGTGTGGAGGTGCTGACAGGAGCCAATCAGGAAAGCCTTGGTCTTGTTGAATAACTGAAGAAAGTTAGCTCTCATCCAGGACTTGATGTTTGACAAACATTCTGTCAGGACAGCAGTGTTCCTGGAGTCAAAGAGAGTTGGGTGTCATCCACATACGTGTGGAAGTTGACCCCATGTCTGCAGTTGATGTCACCAAGACGGAGCATAAAGATATTGACGAGGAGGGGACCAAGGACCGAGCCCTGAGCTGCACGAGATGGTGCGGGGGCAGAAACCGTTTGTGTAGATGAAGTGGAGGCGGTACAAGAGGTACGATCTGAACTATTCAAGAACAGAACCGGTTGAGGTGAGGCGATAGATGAATAGAGTGGTTAACTGTGTTGAAGGCAGCAGAGAGGACAAGGAGGCAGAGGGAGCCCTGTTTTGGATACTCTGATGGACAGAATGTCATTTGTCACTTTGATAGACTAACACTAAGGTAGGTCACCAGCATTAACTACCAACTGAGGTCTAAAGAGCCCATTTACTATTGTCGGGCTGTGAGTGTATGTTTTGAAAGACGATGTTCCCACAGTGAGGATTCTTACGAAAGACTTACCTTAAATGGTCGAAAGAGCAGGTAGAGTTCCCGTGGCTTAATGTCCATAGGAAGACCACTGACAAAGAGTGTACGGACCTGCATATAACAGGAAGACAAACAGTCAGTGTTTGATTGAAAAGGACATCAAGTCTGCACTAGCTGAGTAGGAATATTACTCCTGCCTGAGGTACCATAGCTGCACTGCTCGATTCAATTAAAGTGTTTATTCACACTACATGCATACGGAGTAGAGGGCTAGAGGAGAGAAAGGAAGGTTGAGGACCGGTAGTATTAAGGTTGACATGGCGTAGTGGTGGCATGGAAATGGGCTATTTAACCCATAATTCTGTAACTATGTATATCCAATCTAGCTCAAGAAAGAAGGATTAGTCTGTGGATACCTCTCTTCCTGTGAGCCATTCCACACCTGAGGGTAGAAGCTGAAATACTAAAGCACGAGCTCGGACAAATGGAGCCATTACTCAAGGGCCATTACTGTAGACAGGCTGAAGCTCCGGTTCTTTCTGATCAGCCGGGTGTCAGTCACGCACGAAAATTGGTCACCCTATCCAAACCAGACAGCGTGCCACATGTGCGCCACGTACACATGGTAATGTTCACTTCTGAAATGGAATGTGCACTCTCCCCAGAGGGAATCACTCTGCTTACCCAATTCCAGAGTGCATTAAGTGCAGGTTGGTGAGAGCCAAGGCTTGAGGACTTTATCCTACATGAAGGGAGCTGTATAATAATTTAAATTTTTTTCATCACCCCCTTGTACCTGAAGCAAATATTTGATAATTACATTTGAAAAAATCAGTCCCAAAACATTTAATAAAAACAACACCTCACCACGTCTTCAAACCTGACTGAGTGACGGTCAATGAAATAAGAAATATTGGAATAGAAGCAGAGATATAATAATAATAATAATAATAATAATCCTTGCATTTGATATAGCGCTTTTCACGTCGGGAGGACGTCCCAAAGCGCTTCAAGAATATACTGTAAAGTGAGTTGACTGTATATTTGTGGGCGAACGCAGCAGTCAATTGCGCACAGCAATGTCCCACAAACAGTCATAGATTGAAAATGACCAATTTAATTATTGTTTTTGTTTTTTGGAGGGATTATTATTAGGCGTGTGGAGTAAGGAAACTTGCCCAAGGTTTCGCCCTGCCTGGAATTGAACTCAGGTATACTATTAATAATAATAATCCTTGCATTTGGTACAGCACATCATGTCAAGATGTCTCAAAGCGCTTCACGGAATATACTGTAAAGTAAATTGACTGTATATTTTATGGGCGAAATGCAGCAGCCAATTGCACACAGCAGTGTCCCATAAATAGCCATGGATTGAGTGACCAAATTATTAATGTACATCTTTTTGAAGGGATTATTACTCCCGGAAAAGCAATCCGCCATTCGACTTACAACCGGGTTCCTAAACACTGCTAAGTAAACAGAGGCATGTGGAGTAAGGAAATTTACCCAACATTTTGCCCTGCCTGGGAATTGAACCCAGGTCCTTTGGGTCGTGAGGCAAATGCTTGAGCCACTAAGCTACAGTACACCAAGGTTCTAGCTGCTCATCCAGCGAAGACCACCCTACCCATTAGGGCTTTGGCTCGAAGAGTTAGCAGGAACAGAGTGGGAAGAACACCTCATTTCAGAGGACAGCACTTCCCACAATGAAATTCTCTCCCAAGCATTGGATTGGACTGTCAACCGAGCCTACACTCAGACCAACAGGAGTGTGCTACTAACTGTGCCAAGACGTTTGTGCAAGAAAGCCTGTCTCAATTTAAGGAGCAATGCCAGGCATTAACAGAGCACTCTATTAAGCAGGTTTTAAAGTACAATAATAAGGTTTGATCCAAGTCCTCAGCAAGGTCAGACATCTGTAACGTGCAAATGCTACATTGGCATAATGTGGTTTCAAGTTAAGCTGCCCTCCTTTGTGTTCACAACTACAAAACTTATCCTCTCACCACAAAGTTATAGATTTATCCAGGATCAATTATTCAGGTAACTAAAGGCATTGATTTAAGCAGCATAGTGGGTTAACTCCTGCCCAAACAGGACATGATTAATGTCATTAATCATCAAGTATTTTTTTTACAAGGTACGATTTGACAAATTGACTATTTTCCTGCATCAAGCTAAAAGAAAGGCCTCTGTTAGTCTTTAGATTATACCATAACCTGGTTGTCATGGCATTAAGTGCAGTAAAGAGGCCAAGTAGCAGCTAAACACAGGGTTGGGCCAGATTTCAAGGCTCCGTTAACCTTTGAGAATGAGCGATTTATTGTGTGGGACACAACTCACTGCCGACTATAAAACCACTTTCTGGTTCACCTCCAAAGTAACCCTGATCTATGCAGTATTACCAATTGCCATTTGTAGATTCAAAAGGCTAAAATTGACAATTTTGACAAGTACAGAGTGTTGCAAGGTTCTGACAATAATGCAAACAGCAGATGAATTTCAATGTAGAGAAATGCGAGTTATTGCATTTTGGAAGAAAGAGTGAGCGGAGGAACAGAGAGCCCTGGGGGTTCAGGTAAATGAATCCTTGAAGGTGGCAGGACATGTAGATAAAGCTGTAAAAAGGGCATATGGGATAATAGGCTTTATAAATAGGGGCATCGAGTACAAGAGTCAGGAGGTTATGATTAACCCATATAAACACTGGTTAGGCCTCAGTTAGAATACTGCGCCCAGTTCTGGGCACCGCACTATAGGAAGGATGTTAAGGCATTGGAAAGGGTACAGAGGAGATTTACGAGGATGGTACCAGGAATGAGGGACCGTGATGATGAGGAAAGGCTGGAGAGGCCGGGATTATTCTCAATGGAGCAGAGAAGGTTACGAGGACCTAATAGAGGTCTTCAAAATCATGAGAGGATTTGATAGTTTAGAAAGGGAAAAACTGTTTCAACTGGTGTGTGTGTCGGTGACTCAAGGTCACAGATTCAAAACAGTCTCTAAAAGAAGCCGAGGGGAGGTGAGAAGAAATTTTTTCACACAGCGAGTTGTTTGAATCTGGAAGGCATTGCCTGAAAGGGCGGTTGAGGCCGATTCGTTAACAACTTTTAAAAACGCGGTGGATGGGTATTTGAGGAGGACAGGTTTGCAGGTTTATAGGGAAAGGGCTGGAGAGTGGGATTGACATTACATTGATCTTTTCAAAGAGTCGCACAGACTCAATAGGCCGAATGGCCTCTTTTTGTGCTGTACAATTCTATAAGAGTGAAATGGCTTCTTTCCTGAAATGATGTAAGTCTAAAGTTTGCAGAATTGAGGGCACTATAATAATAATAAATAATAATCCTTGCATTCGATGCAGCACTTTATCATGTCTTCTAGATGTCTCAAAGCGCTTCACAGGATATACTGTAAAGTGTACTGTCTATTTTGTGGGCAAAACGTGGCAGCCAATTGTGCAAACATTGTCCCACAAACAATCATGGATCGAGGGACCAAATTATTATTTTTGAAGGGTTTATTACTCCAGAAAGCAATCCGCCAATTGACTAATAATCATTCCTACTTACTGCTTGATAAACAGCGGCATGTGCGTGGGGTAAGGAAACTTGCCTAAAATATTGCCCTGCCCGGGAACTATTATATCAAGCTTGGTTGACGCACATACAATACCTACATAGAATATTAGTGCATTTACAGTCATACCCAACGTTGAGAAAATTGGCTTTGTACATGATTTAGTTGGACTTTTGAAACACCATAAGAAGTGGATATAGATTGTGTAAATTGCAGTAAGTTAAGTGTCAACACCTAGTTAATGCTTAACCATTACAAAAAGGTTGAATAATTGTTACAAGTCACTAAACCTGTTCAGTATCACTCTGCTGTTTGGAAGTAGTTTGGGGTTTAAATAAAACTAAGTCTCACTGTAGAGCAACAAGTTGCTCTCAAACACATTTGCAACAAGAGAGGGGGTTATCTTTAGACAGAGCGGAGAATTTAACTCAACAGCCATTTTCTGCATGTCCCTCATGCCCTCCATTCCACCATTAGTGGCGGTGCTTTCACCAACTATGCCCCGAAACTCTGGAACACTCCTCTATTCCTCCGCCGTTCCCCTTCCTTTCCCATCTTCAGGCCGTGCCTGAAGACCTTCCTATGCGACCATGCCTATGGTCACCTCCCCCACCTCTCGACTCAAGCTTCTTGCTCCCCCACTGTTAAGCGCTCTGGGGTCCAACCCTGTGTGAGGGGCACTAGATAAATAAGTTGTTGTGATTTACCTGGAACTGTCGGGAGCCAAATGCTCCCAAGCTACATATGTTGAATGCTTGCAAATGAAGAGCAATAGATTAATCTTTGGATTTAATATAGCGTCTATTCTCAAAGTGCTACTGAGGCTCTGTAAAATGCAAGAACAAAAACAGAAGTCGCTGGGAACACTCAGCAGGTCCGGCAGCATCTATGCAAAAAGGAAAGCAAGTCAACATTTTAGGTCCACGACCATTCGTCAGGGAGGGGTGGAGAAAAAACGAGGCTTTTAAGGGCTAACAGAGGCTTTGAAACCTCTCCCCCTCCCCCAAAATGCCCCAGTTCTGAGCGTTTCCAGCGACTTGTTTTCATTTTCTGATTTCCAGCATCTGCAGTATTTTGTGTTTTCTGTAAAATGTAATGTGTGTACTTGTAGACAAACAACAACCAATTTGTGTGCAGTGATGTCCCTGAAGTGTCCAACTTTTTTTTTTTGAACTTGAGGGAACTTTGGTCAGGACACCAGGAGAAACTACCTTCCTTAATAAGGCTGCAGGAATAACATTCACCCTAACAGGACAATAGAATCATGGTTAAGTCTCATTCAAAGGACAGCACCTCCGGCAATGATGTGCTTCCCCTTTACCCTTCCTTTCCCCCCACACCTCCGTAGCGGACTCTCGCAGGCCAACATAAATTCTGCCTCAATCACAGCTTCCAGCAGGACACTCCATATCCTAACTGCTCTGTAAATGAAAAACATTCTAACATTCTATCCATTTTTTTTTGTTTACCAGCTCTTAAATTGAGGCCTCTAGACACTGAGTCACTAGTCAATTAATAAGTTATAGAAATATTAGTTCCATGTCACACCAAAGTCAAATATTGACTAGAGTCAGGTATTTACTCACAAGTAATTGCTGTTTGCTTTCCACCCATCAGCATATCAGATTATACTAGAGACAAGTTACTATGTGAAGAAATGTGTCTGCATTATCGGATTTGGGTATTAATTGAATTGGTTAGCAACTCAACTGTCTAATTGTAAGCCCAGTTGAGGGGTGTGGGGGATAGTTTCTGTCTGCAGGCTCAACATTAGAGAATCATGAAATTAACCTCGACAAATCACAGATCATCCCAATTACATGCTCATAGGTTAAGATGATTCAGGAAAGAAATGGGGGTAATTAGATGGATCTAGTTTGAACTATTTATATGAACTCTCTGCAGGTCTTGACGAGTTCACAGGGAGCATTTCATTCATTTTGAAGTGTCCATTAATATTTACATTTCATAAGGGTCATCTAAACAAATGGAGTGTAGCCAACAGTGATAATTATAAGGTTGACATCCAAAGCTCCTGCTTAGAATTAGACAAATGCAGGTTCTCAGCCCTTTTGGAGATTAAGATGCAGAATATTTAAAATTTAGCTAAAGTTCAGGCACAAGTTATTAATAACATAATAATGATAAGTTTCTTCTCAAAATACTTTGCAGGATTTGCATCCGTTTTTCATCTACAAAACAGTCACTCCACTTTACAATATTGTATATCCATGAGGCACTTTGAAACGTTGCCACGACGTGGAAGGTGCTTTACCGAAGTTAAGAAGGTTTATTATTAACTATAAAGGCAACAACTATTCTGGAGGTGAAACATGACAACCAATTTGCATGCAGTAATACCCCTCAGTACGGCCTTAAAATGAATCGGTTTATCTGGAGGATTAGTTGACCAGGACACCAGGAAAATATTCTTCTCAAATAGTGCATCGGATCCTTAATGTTCAGCTGACCAGGCAAACAGGCCCTTTAATGTTTCAGCGCTGTTCTGACTGTTCAGATCTTTCGGACGTCCTCCCGACATGAAAGGCACTCTATAGATGTAATTATTTTGTTGCTGTTGTTTCATCTAAAGGACAGCTCCAGCAATGCAGCACTCACCCAACACTGCACTGATGTGTCAGCCTAGACTACCATTTCATGTAATATAATAATAATCCTTGCATTTGATATAGCGCTTTTCACGTCTTCGACATCCCAAAGCACGTCTCAGAATAGACTGTAAAGTGAATTGACTATGTTTGTGGGCAAAACCCGGCAGCCAATTGCACACAGCAGTGTCCCACAAACATTGTGGATTAAAAATGACCAATTTAATATTGTTTTGAAGGGATTATTATTAGGTGTGTGGAGTAAGAAAACTTACCCAAGCTTTCGCCCTGCCTGAAATGAACCCAGGTCTCTCGCTTGCAAGGTGAGTGCTCCAACCACTGAGCTACAGGACTCCACAAGTGTAGTGACACCACAAGTAGCAACTCAAATGCATATAGATTGATGCCTGTACACAAGTACACTACAAACAATGATCAGCAAGATGTCATTGATGGTTCAAGTCACCAACCTTGATTTATAGTATACGTTTGTGGTTGGACTTGCTCAAGCTTGGTCTGGTAACATTAAGAACGTCAAGGAACACACGGACAGGACAGAAAGTGCTCCAGCAAGTCTGGATAAGAGTCACTGAGGTATTGGG